AGGGCTGCTGGAAATCCAATGTCACTTCTTGCTCTTGGCATCCAAAAACCACCCCTATGTCCCTACAATTTAATTCCCCTTCTTTCATGAGCTAACTCCAGAATAATGCCTGAGCCATGATTATCAAAGACCAAAATCTACATCCTGAGTTTCTGGCCACTACCAAAAGCCCTGGGGCACCTGAAGCATGCCAAGAACCCCTCCAACCTACACAGCTTAAATGCTTGAAGACAATTGTCCCTGCATTTCTACCACAACCCATCCAAGTCTTCTCCTGGTTAAATAGACCCGGAACAAATCCCTGGAAGCTCCTCGAGGCCAGACTGGATCCTCAGACTAGCACACGGCCTGGGTGGTTTTTCTGGGGGGATGGTGTGCAAGTATTTAGACAAAGCTTGCTTAGTCTCCCCTATTTCTCCCCTCCCCCCACCCTTAGCCCCCGGCAATGATTGGCCTGTTTTCTGTTCTGATTTTTTTTTTTAGAATGTCATGTCAGTAGAATCATACAGTACGGGGCCTTTTGAGTCTGGCTTCTTTCACTAGGCATTTGAGATTCACCCATGTTGTATGTATCTGCAGAAGCTTTTTATTACTGAGTAGTAGCCACCGTATGAATGTACCACCTCACCACGTCTATTCCCCATTCACCAGGTAAGGAGCAACTAAGGGTCTTCCAGATTGGGGCTATTACAAATAAAGCTGCTACCATCTTTCACGTAGAGGTTTTTTTGTGAGTGAAGGTTTTCCTTTCTCTTGGGTAAACACCTAGGACTGGGATTGCTGGATCATATGGTAAGTGTTTATAAGAAACTGACAAACTATTTTGTCTTGTGGCTGTACCATTTTGCACTTCTACCTTCAATGTATGAAAGTTCAAATCATTCCACACCCTTGCCAGCTCTCGGTATTGTCAGTTTTTTGTTTTTGTTTTAGTCATTCTCATAGGTGCATATGGCATCACGTTGTGGTTTTAATTTCCCTAATGACTAATGATGTACATTTTTGGTGAGATGTCTGTCAAAAGTTTTCTGCTCATTTTTCAGTTGTTTTATTTCCCTCCCTGCTCCATTATTAAGTTTGAAGAGTGCTTTACATATTCTAGATACAAGTCCCTTATCACACCTGTGATTTGCAAATATTTTCTCCTAGTCTGTGACTTTTCGTTCTCAACAGTGTTTTTCAAAAGGAAGCTTCTTCAATTTTGATTCAGGGTGTAAACCAGATGATATCTGTCCTCTGCTTGGTTTCCCATCACAATGGGGATAAAATCCACACTCCTTCTCTGTCCTATAGATTTTGCCATGATCTGGGCTCCATTGGCCTCTCCCCATCACGCCCTCCCCCCACTCAGCGTGTCCCCACGGCACGCTGCCTCCTTTTGTCCTAACACTACACTAGCTCATGCTGGCCACAGGGCTTTTGCACTCATAGCTCCCTTCCACACACCTCTGCCCCCCAGCCATCCGGGCCTCAGCTCACATGCCACCTGCTCAGAGAGGCCCTCCCTGACCACACTCACCAAGAAGCGTGTAACCCCTCCCCCATCATACTGGTTTTATTTTCTGCATGTCACTGACCATTACTGGGAAACGTCTATCGGTTCTCCAGAATGCAGGCCCTGTGGGTGTTCCTTTGTCTTGCTCTCCACTGTCTTCTCAGTTACTACAACTGGTGCCTAGCAGAGTGGGCCCTCCACATAATGCTTTAAACGAACGAACAGCAAAGCTTAATTCCCTTTCATGCTCCTTATCACAGTTATGAAAGTGCCCCAGTCTGCCCAAAGTCCTTTGAATTAATCCCAGTCTTCTGGGCAGAGCCAGCTGAACTCAGAATCATAGAGGACTTATACCTCCCTCATCCTGGCGGCTCCTGTTAATGCGTCCTGAGAAAACATTCCCTTAAGAGGTGGACATACCATTGCTGACACAGACCAAAGCCTATCAGGATCCAATCCTATCTCCAATACTTTTATCCCCACAACAGCACTTCTCGGTCCTACAGGAAGCTAAATCCCAAACTTCGAATTTTCTCAAGACCTCTCCACCCATAGTCCCTGCACCTGCACACACTGGTTTCCCCAAGTCTCCCTGCGTGACCTCAAATGAAATACGGCCATGAGGACCAGCCAAGATCCCAGCAAGAGCAGAAACTGGCTAGGCCTTGTTTCCTGCTGCCCCACCATAACCCCCAAATGTCATCCCAGGGAAATATCACACTTGCCTTTTCCACCCAACCAGGGCCTTCAGCCCCAGCTGTAATGACAATGAAATCTTGAATGCCTGAAAAACCCTCTTCTCGAAAATCAGAAAATTGCTATTCAGCTTCCTTAACGAAAACCCTTATTTGCATAGATTTGGCATTGCTACACTTCCACATTTAAATGGTCTCTAATTAAAATCATTAATTGCAGAAAATAGTGACTCGTTAGGGATGTAATTTAGTGAGGTTCTCATCACTTGAGAATCTGACTTAAAGGTTAACAGGGTGATCCAAGAAACCACCAGCTCCCATGAACCATTCTAGCGTCAGGTGAGGTCCAGAGCCCAAGGCAGGTGGCACCAAAGTGAGACCCAGTTTGAAACTGGCAGCTTCCTTACAGTTCTGCATTTGTGAGGTTGGCCTATGGCACAGTGATGCCGATAACACTCAAAGAAGGCAGGACTGGGAAACTGCTCTGGGAAAAATCTTAAAGCCAACAAAGAAGACATCAGTCACCCCTCTCTTGGTGTCCAGGACAATGCAGGAGGACCAGGCAGGGGCTGAGCAAGTCCAGTTTAAGTAAATCACAGTTTATACGCACCAATGGTTTTCTAAAAAGCCTTTGCTGTTGAGCTATAAAAAGCCTCATCCGTCAGGGGACCCAGGGCCTATTTTGGTAGCTGGGCCATGCAGGTAAGGCAGGTAGGGAAGGCGGGCTGTGCACACTGCACTTGGGAGAAAAGACACACAGCCAGCATTCGAGCAAGGAGGCCTCCTGGAAGGCAGGCGAGGCAGGCACTGGCACCAATCCCCTTTGGCACTGGCTCCTAGCTGTCCCATCACATCCCCTGGGCTCACAGGCGCAGGCCCAGTTTGTGGACCAATAGAGAAACAGCAGTGGGCCCCAGGCACGGCCACTACTCAATGGTGGCCTTTTGGAAGTGGAACACTCTCTCTGTTCCTGGGTCTGTAAAACTGGATCCATAACTCTGTCCCACACTGTGAGAGCAGAATGAAGGCTGCACGGACAATGCAAGAACTTATGGGAACTCAAAGGGGCTGCCAGAATGATGAAAAGGAGCAGTCTTTCCAGCGAACCACCAGGGCTCTCTTCAAGGTCAGAGGCCAGGTCCGAGCTGGACAGATAGGACAGGCCCAGGCCTGGCAGTGCAGGTGGGCTGCAGCAGGGTGAGAAGGGGCCTACCTTGCAACAGGCCACTGTTAAGCCTCCAAAGAGGGGCACCACTGCTGACACCCAAGTGACTTGATGGCTGTGCCCTAGGTGGGTGGTGGTGGGAGAGCGCAGACATAGCACTTGCATGGCTATGAGGGAAGGGTGCTGCTGGGTGCGTAATGCACACTTGTGGGCCAATGGTGTGTGCAGGTCCTCAGTGCTGCTGACAAATGCCAGCTCCCCTCTCCTTCCAGGCAGAGGGTGGCACTCCCCTTCCTCGCCCCCTCTGAGGTTGGACTGGCCGCGTGACTGGCTCTGGCCAATACGATGTGAGAGAAAGTGATGTGTGTCATTTCCAAGCAGATGCTTGAAGAGCTGGCATGTGAGTCACTCCCTCTTCTACCTGCCTCAGAAACAGGATAAACACAGACACTCTGTGGGCCCAGGTCCCTGAGTATCATGAACAGAGTCCCTCCCCTGCCACCTGCCTGGATATATCACATGAGCAACAAATAAATCTTTGTTTTAGCACACGGAAACCAAGAGGATGTTTGCTACCGCAGCATAACCTAACCTGTACCCTTCCTCATAACAGTGGTATTCTTGGTATGTGGTGTGTCGGCAAGTCTATCCATGTGTACTTATGGTATTTCTGTGGATGCAAGTGTGGTCCTCTTTGGGGGTGTAGTGTTATGTTGTGTGTGTGTGTCGTATTCCTCTGTGTGTATGTAGCGTAAATGACACTCATAAATGACGTTTCTGTGAGTACGCACGTGTAGTAGGAACTGTGTGTGTGGAACGTCCCTTTGTGTGTGTGATGCTACTGACTGTGGACAGTGTATATGTGATTTTTCTCTGTGCGTGTATGGTATTTCTAGTGGGCATGTGACCTCTCCAGCATTATAAGAATTGCTTGCAAAAACCAGTGGGAGAGAAAGCAGTTTCACCTGAGCACAGATCTTGGTCCTCAGAGAAGCAGTAACAAGTGAGAAGAGAAGGGGCCCATGGGACACCACGGGAAAGGGCTGCAGGTGCTCAGGGAGGTCCACCACAGCAGCTTCCCTTCACAAGGGTCCTCTCAGCTACCACAGACCTGGATGAGCATCTGCAGAAGCTGGTCCAGGCCACAGTGCCCCACCTGGGGGCCCCTTCCTCTGAGTTAGGGCCAACCAGGCATCCATTGCTCTCCCTTTTCTGGCTTTCTTGGGCAGAGCTGGAGGGTCCAAGGCCCCAGACTCAGCTCCTGGCCCTTCACAGCCCAGTACCCAGTCACACAGGCCACATGGGCCACTAGTCACAGAACCAAAGTTTAGTCAAATATTATCACCAATATAGGTGGGAAAATGGGATCCCCAAGAGGCAAAGGGACTTGCCATGCAAACACCACACATGAAAGCCTTCTGACTCCTGCTCCAGATTGGTCCTGCTTTGGTCCAGCTCTCCTGAGAACACTGGGCGAGCAGAGGCCAGGGGCTGACATCCCCTGCCATGCAGCCAGGAGGGCAGCCACCAGCTCCAGCCCCACAACACAAGACCCCACCATCTTGGCTCAACCCCATGACCTCCAGTGCCAATGGGGGAAGCCGATGAACACAGGAGGGGCATGTGCAGTGACGTGGGCCCTCACCTGCAGCTCGGTCTGGAAGAAGAACTTCTGTGGGCACTGCGAGCAGTCATAGATCTTGTCCTCCTGCCCATGCACGGCGAAGATGTGCTGCTGCAACTTGTTGGCCTGGACGAAGACTGGACACAGACATGGCCATCAGGGGCCAAACTCAGGACACCAGCCCGGCTACCCGTGGCAGCTGACCCCATGACACCACTCAGAAGGAGGGATCACCCAGGCATGGGCACAGTCAGCCAAACAGGGGGCTAGTGGGAACATGATTAGCACTGACTAGCAGGTGCTCTAGCTAGGTAAGCTGAATTCTGCCACTTAGTGGCTGTGCAACCTTAGGCAAGTCACTTAACTTCTCTGGGCTTCATTTACTCTTTTGAAAAATGGAGATTATAGTATGTACCTCACTGGGTGGCTGGGAGGATTGAGTGGGTTAATACTCATCAAGTACTTAAAAGATGGGCTGGTACATAGTTAGGCCTCCTCTTCCTCCTCTGCCAGACACCTGATGATGTATGAGCTCCTCAAATCCCCTACAGGCCTGTAAGGCAGGCACTGTTGCTATCCCCACTTTATAGAAGAGAAAACTAAGGCATCAGGAGTCTTAAATGACTTGTCCAAGGTCCCACCGCTAGCAGGTGGCAGAGCTGAATTTGAATTAAATAAGCTTAGCACAGTGTCAGGGACAAGAAGCTGATCAGCCCACAAGAATTACTACTCTGTTGGTGAGGCTGTTGTCAGCATCCCTGGGCCCACAAACAGAGGCCCCTGTGTCCTGGATGGACAGACCCACAGCTGGGGCCTCTCGATGCCAGCCCCCACCCAGCCCACAGAAGGGAGCCAATGGGCAGGGGCTCCTGGAATGAGAGGAAAGAAGGCACCAGGGTGTTTCAGGACTCTTGGGAGGCCCACAGCACAGCCCCCTCCCCAGGCCTGCCAGAGAGCAGGTCATAGCCCTGGCTTCCCGGTGGCAGGGGTCCCTGAGGCAGCCCAAGCCCCGGGCGCACACAGGAGGCAGTGCTGAAGCAGCTGTGTGTCTGGGAGGTGAGCGCTTCAGAGATGCCCTCCCGCCAGGCGCTCTCCCCAGGGTGGGCTTCCCGCAGTGGCAGACGGCAGATGTCGGGGGAGGCAGGGAAGGCCAGGCTCCCCCACGCACACCGGCTGCCATCTGGGCAGCAGGAGGGGGCTGGCAGAGCCCCTGAGACTCGCCTCAGGCCGAGACAGCCGCTCGCCTGGGCCGGCAGCCAGTCTGGGGGCTGGGGACTTGGCCGACAGAGCTGCCCTTGACCCCTCCAGCCTGGAGCACGGATGGAGCACGGGTAGGCACAGGGCACATGGGCAGGCCAGGGAGAAGGGGGAATTAGGAGTGTGTGAAGGGGGAGCCCCCACTGGTGCTGGACACAGCTCGCAGCTCAGAGAGACAAATGTGGAGCCCAGGAAGGGAAAACTGCAACAGAGGGCTGAGGTGGACAAAGGACTTCCAGCAGCGGCGTGCAGAGGGCTGGGAAAGGGGGCCAGCCAACCTGCCTGAGAGGAGAGGCCAGAGGGCACAGTTCTGCATGAAGTGGGACAGGGCAGTTGGTCTGTTGATCCCATGGGGCTTCCCCCATGAAATCCTGGGTCCACATGCCAGGCACACGCTGGGCACCTTACCTGTGAAGCAAACCGGGCATTTGAAGGTGCCGCCCATGCCCTCGAAGCTGTGCTCGATGAGGTGACAGAGGAGCTTGGCCGGGGAGTCAAACATCTGGTTGCACAGCTTACACTCGTGGTTGATGCCTTCCTCTGCAAGGAAAATCCACAAGCAGTTAGTGACCCTGCAAGCCACATCTCCAGGCAGGAGCCCACGAGGCCCCGGGTTCACCCCGGCACCAGCCCCTCTCTCATCCCAGGAACCAGGGCTGGTGCAGGAGCCTCGGACACCAAGACTCCTCCTGGCTCCGGATGGCCCAACCTCAGAGGCTTATGACCCTAGGTGTGGCTCCAAATTTCTGGCTCTTGAATGTGCTGTTTGCTATGATTTCCTCTGCTGGCTAAATATCCAATCAAGTATTTATTGAGCATGTACTATGTGCCAGGAAGTTTGCTATGAGCTGGGGATTCTTGGGGAAACTAAACAGATAACGTCCTTGCTCCCATCTGGTGGCAAGGGAGATAGATAATAAATTAAAGTGACCAGCACATAATACAGCATCAGGAAGTGATGTGAATATGTCAGGGGAGCACTCTAGGAGAGGGGTGAGTGAGGGCAGAGGCCCCAAGGTGGGCCCGTGCTGAGCCATCTGAAGCGTGGCACAGGGACAGTGTACCTGAGGCTCAGAGGGCCAGGGAGTGGGTAGGGAGGGCAGGTAGAGAGGCCATGCAGATGCACATCTCGAAGGGTCTTGTCAGCCACTGGAGGACTTTGGGATATGACCCTAAGAGTGATGGGCAGCCACTGGAAGATATGTCAAAAAACCAAAATGCTCTTTTTTTAAAAAAATTGTTTTAGGGGCC